GGCGCATGTGGGGTGGAGAATCTTTCTGTAGCATAGAATTTTTTGGAATTATGGTAGACAAATAGGGGCTAAAGTAGGAACTAGAAATAGCTAGAATCTGGAAGAAGAGCTGCTGAACGTAATCTGCTGCTGGAGAAGGGAATCTGCTGATTTGTTGAACTTGCATATATTCCAACAATGATCAGGTCGTCCTCCATCATCTGCTACAGCTACACCAAAAGGTCTTGGTATGAAGGTAGAGAAAACACAAAGGACCAACCAATTTTTGGAATCATTAAAAGCTGAAGGTGAAGTGATTGTTCAAGATGTGAGACCAACTGTTGGTCAGTCCAAGCCAGCTGCTCCAACACCAACTCGTCCTATCACATTGACAGTTGAAAAAAAGCTTAATTTAACTTCAAAACGTGATGGTGCTATTGGAAACTTTGATGTTCAGAGCACCTTGTCTCTCCAAATACTTAATCAGGATGATGGTCTCATCCAAGTTCAGGTTCTTCTTCTTTTCACTCCTCCATTATTGCTTCTTATGTACTTAGCAGTGTGTGTAATTACGTTTAATGCTTATTTTCTTTATTCTTGTTCAGGTTATTTATCTTATAGGTCATTCTTATATTGGCTTATATTCAGATTGAAAATGGTGGTAATCCAGGAATTTTATATAAGACCCACCCCAATATCAACAAGGAATTGTTTTCCAATAAAAATATTTTAGGTCTCAAGGATACAAATAGGCCATTTCCCAGTAGTGATGGTGTTGGTCTTTTGAAGTGAAAAATGCAAAGTGCAGACGAGTCACTTGTGCCATTATCAAGCAAGCTTGATTTTTGTTGCTTCCCACCTGCTACCTTTGAAACAGAAAACACAAAAAATAAGGTATTAGTTTTCTGTAGCTTTGTCATTGATCTATTTCATTTTTTATTTTTTTTTGTTTTTCTGGCAGTTAACTGCTGGCCTTCTGTTTCTGGGAATGAAACCTATGTGAGCATGGACTATCAAACCTATATACAAAATTGCTCGGAGTTAGATGGTTGCATCTTGATTACGACTTAGATGTCAAGAAGAAGGATTATGGAGGTATGAACCTTCATACTGTTTTTGCATGTATTTCATCCTTAGTGTTTTCTTCTTTGTATTATTTGTGAAACAATTTGTTGCTTTCTTACTCACAATACATGTAGAACGCTTATTATTACTTCTATTTCGGATTGAAAATTTCCTTTATATATAACATATCATAAAACCGTCCATTTTTACCAAGAATTCAGTCCGTTGATTGCTTTCTTTTTTAAGGGAAAAGAGGATTTTGGTGTAAGGATTTTCATTCAGCCTGCACAAGCTGTTGAATCTATAAATTTTCGTTTGGGTAATGTTCTAGGTTCAACAGTACATACCTCACGACTTTTTATTGCAATTCTTTTCTAGTTTTACTCTATGACGTTGAAAAAAAAAAAGAAAAAAAATAGAGTTTTCCTGTCAAAATCGGTGAGCTTAATGCATATACAGTGAGAATTATGTAAATACGGTGAGCTTCTTGAAAATCCAGTTGCAATTCTACCTCATAATTGACAACTCTTTTTAGCTTTGAATCAACCACATACAAAGAAAAATCTTCACTTGCATTATCAGTCTTTGAAACCTCCATTTTCCATTTCCAGATTTGATTTTAGTTGTTGAATGAAGTAGATGCTTTTCAATTTCTTGAACATACCGAATTTTCAATGACCATACCTGTATTGCACTCAGCTTATCGGATTCGCTTCTTACCTACCAGACTTACTGAATGTGATCAATCTTACCGGATTTACATTGCTCATACCGTAAATGTCGGATTCGTGATGGTTTTACTGGTTTTCGAAGAAAAAACTGAAATTACCGTATTTGTACTCATCTCACCGGATTTGCAACACTCTCACCGTATTTGCACCTTAATTTCCACCCCTTAATAGCTACTTAATAACTATAATATATTTTAAGTGCATTTAAGATTTTTTTTTACCATTTCTTTCAGTTGGATAGTTACAAATTGGATTTAAACCACACTAATAAATAAGTTTCACATACGCTAGCGATTTGAAAAACCAAAACCAAAACCAAAAAATCTAATAAATAATAATTATTAGAAAAATTAAATAGGAAAAATAAACTACAATACCTACTAACCGGATTTGCAGTAATCTCACCGTATTTGCACTCAACTTTCCGGATTTGACATTGTTGCTCTGTTTTTCTTCAGCCTTTTCAGCTTGTTTTCAACCATTTGTTTTAGCATTTTTCTTCCAATTTTTTGAAGCTTAGAATCAATTTTCCAGCTCTAATAATCAATGATTAGTTTTTAAGCTCTAAATCGTATCATTTATACCAGATTTTAACCCATTTTCATCATCACTTTTTCTCCTATTCCTCTGTTTTTTTCTCCAATTTCACCAGCATCTTCTTCTACCTTTTTTCAGCTATTTTTGTGACTACAAGTAATACACAATGTTAATATTTATGCTCTGAAGACATCTATTATCATATTTAAATTTCATATACTGCTTTAATATATAAACTTTGTGCTCCCATACGTTCAAAATCTAGCTTTACGAAACATTTCTATCCATGGAAAAGAGTGTATTATGTTTGATTCTACGTCAGCAATTTTTAGCATATTTTGCACTTCCCAGTTAACTTTATGAATGTAAAACCCTAATAATTTATGCAATAATTTGATTTATTTTATCTACTTGTTAATTGCATATTTTTTAACTTATTTAACACATATCAAGTGGAAAGTAATCCATGCAAGAAAAGCAAGCAAAACCACTTTTTTGATAGAGAATGTATTTCTTTTAAAAGTTTGCTGATATATTGCAGTTCACGGATGCCAACTTGGATGATCTGAACTTGAACCTTGCTTGCCTGTCCTTTGAAAATTGTGTTTATGTTTACAAATGTCCCATAAAAAGCATTGCTCATTCCTGGCTATAATTTATTTGATGCACAAATAAGCTATTTTGCCTCTTCCAAAAACTTTATCGTTTTTTCCATGCCATTGTTAAAGAATCTCATATTCCCATATTTCTGGCACTGGCAAAAGGTAATGGCGCCCCACCCCCAAGAAAAATGAGAATTACTCGTAGATTTAATAGTACCGATTCATGCGCTGCGTACTAATGGCTTATACTTTTAAAACCCATATGATTAAATTCCTTACTGTGGAGAAGATTAGTATTTGGTTTAAACCTAATCTTGTGTTTAGTTTTAATATGGTTTAAATTTCTCTTTGTAAGGTAACTTGGTCTTGTGTAAATAAATTGTACATCTACTTGATGTGAAACCTTTGTGTTCCATGTATACTAAATCACGAAAAAAACTTGATTGGAAATGTTTATTGGTGCATATATGTATTTGCTGCTGTAACTAATCTGGGGATTATGCCAAATTTTTAGTATTGCTTGATTTCTTCCCAGGATCCAGTTCTTGAGTGGAGAATCGATTTTTACACCATTGGTTGTCCCATCATTTTGTTTAGGATTGATATCATTTGTTATGACGTCAATCACCGAATTGGGATATTGAAATTATATGACAAATAATAATGAAGTATATGATCAAGTAAAAGAATAAAAGAAGACAATAATGTGGTAGATGAATTAAGAGATTTTATTGCACCAAGAATAATGGAGAAGAGTGAAAATTACAATAGATCCTGTAATTCTAATAATCTATTTTCTCACATGTAATTGTTACAAAAATTGTATAGAAGAGCTTAGTATTTATAGGGTACATATAGGGGACATCCAAACCCTCTTGGTAGAGTTGTTGATAAAGTAGAATGTCCAAAATACAGTCCAAATCGACTTAGGAAACAAAAAACGGAAAAATTCCGAAACAGGTGGGTGGCGCTTAGGCGTCGGGGCTGGCGCCTGGGCGCCCAAAGGCTGGCACTAATCTATTGGAAAACAGATTTATGGCGCCTAGGTGCCAAGTCACGGGCTTAAATTATCCAAATTTGTTCCAAATGTGTTTAACTCCATTTCGAATTCTTCTTTAAATCCAATACCAATTTCCAACTCCCAATGGGCTTCCAAAATAGAATTTCAACTTTCAACTTGATATATGACTCCTATAGCATTCCAAACCTGAATTCCTCTTGATGTGCACTTCAATTGGAATTCTTCAATACTTTAAATACCTCAATGAAAGAATTTCGGTCACACCCAAATTCTAACAATCTTCACCTTGACACAAATTCCACTCAAAGAATGAACTGGCTTCTTCAACAATAATTCAAAAATTAATTTCTCCAACAAAAATACAAAACTCCACCTCTTGCAATGAATCCAAGAACTACACTTGTAGAATTATCTCAGATCCCCAAAAAATCATATAGATTTTACAATTTACCAAAATGGGTTGTAACACACCCCAATGCAGAATCAACACCAAATGCTTTTAACGAATGCTCTTTGCTAGATTGATCACCTTCTTCTCCACTTAAAGCATGCTCAACAAAATTAGCATCCACATACCTTGTTCCACTGGGTCTGACTCTAGCAACTGAATACAGTGGCACCACAGGTGATGGTGGCAAAGCTATATTATCCATATGATAATGAAGGCTCATAGCTAGATTGAACACCTTTTTCTTCACTTAAAAAATGCTCAACAAAATCAAAATCCACCTACCTTATTCCACTGGGTATAACATTAGCATCTGAATACAGTGGCACCACAGGTGATGGTGGCAAAGCTATATTATCCATATATTCAAAACTCCACTGAGTTGTATTCTTGAAATCTGACCATTTATGAGCTCCTATAGATATTGTACCAAACTGAATGTCCACCATGGTACTGAACCTATGCTGATTGACTCTTCCAAATTCTGTACGTCCCTACAAGATGTATAACTGAGACATTTTCTGTCCCTCCAATATAACCTGGTTACCCTTACAAACCTTCAAATCTCCACTTCCACCAAAAAACTCATAACATTTTGAATCAAGGATAGATAATGAGATGAGATTCTTCTTCAAATCTGGAACATGTCGAACCTGGCCAAGTGTTCTAATTGTCACATCCAAAAGTTTCAATCTGACTGTACCAATTCCAACAGCCCGAGAAGATGTTTTGTTTCTCATAACCACGACATCTTTTGAAACAGTTTCATATGTAGTAAACACCTTAATATTAGGACACATATGACACACACACGCAGAATCCAAAATCCAATCCCCCTCTAGTTTAGACTTGCTATCAGAAATAGCCAAGAGATTTCCCTCATTTACAATGTTTTCCGCGAGGTCTGCTTCACCTGAAGTCTTTGATTGCTTCCCATATCCACTTGTAGCCAACTNACCTCCTCAATGGTGAGAGTATTACTACTATATAAGATCGTGTTTCTAAATGAAGAAAGTGAAACAGGCAACGAACACAATAGGATCAAAGTCAAATCTTCTTCATCATACATAACTTCCAATGTTTCTAAATCAGCGACAATCTCCTTAAATACAGTTAGGTGATCTTCTAATGATCCTCCTTCTACCATGCGATGAGATTATAACCGCTGTTTGAGATGCAATTGCTTGTAAGACTCTTGGTCATGCATAATTGCTTCAACTTTAACCAGAAAGCAGCTGCTGACCTCTCTTTTAAAACGTCCTGAAGAATGAAATTTGATAGATAAAGAAGAATGTGAGAAATTGCCTTTTTATCTTTCTGTAATTTCTCTTCTGCGGTCAAAGTTGCTGGCATCCTGTCAATACCCAGCAACACATCATCCAAATCCA